AGTTGAGCCTTAGAATTATATTAATTATTAACTAATTCGCAGAGTTCTTTGTCTAGTAACTCTCCACACAGGAGTGGATTCCAATAAAGTGGTGCTGTATTTCATTGATTCCAAGATGCAGGGTCCTGCTCCCCACCTCACCTTTTAACATCACTAAAATCAGGATGTATTTTCTTTTTTTTTTTTGTCCTTTTTGCAACCGGCCGCACCGCGCTCAGCCAGGGAGCGCATTGCACCGGCCATCCCTATATAGGATCTCCCAAGTGCACCACGGGCTCGGCCCAGGATGTATTTTCTAAAGGAATTCTTGATAATTCCTTAGTAGCTAACATTGTTTGACTGCTAATAAAATCTTACCACTGTCCAATGTAGGTAAAATTTTTTTAACCTCCTTCTCTTCATTTTGATCATCCCTTATTAAGAAGAACCATCTAGAGCCCCAAATTTTCTACCATAACTAAACCCAGGGGAAAAAACCTAATACTTTGGAGGAGAGAGAGAAGGGTAGGAATTAAGATTTGAATGTGATATCCCCATTTCTTCTTACATGGTTTCAGAACATTTCTCACTGGAGTAGTGTCAAAAGGCTAGCTCTTTTCTCACTAAAATCAATAAAAGAAAAATATGGTTTCTGGTAGACTATTTATTATAAGCAAATATGTGACAACACAAAACCTTTGTGGTTTTTTGCCTTCTTTTTTTAAAATACAGAAGAAATTCTGTTTAATAATCTTAAAGGGATATCCTGGTTATAAAATCATGTGTGTGTGTGTGTGTGTGTGTGTGTGTTAGAATAGTTAAAAACCTGGCTAAAATGGAAGTCTTATTCTAGTATACATTATTTATTGGGTTAGAGTTATTTAATTACCAAATCACATTTCCCTCTATACTGTAATAACATATTGGGAGGGATGTGTGAAAATGCAAAATTTGAGGAGGCCTCTAAATACTGTTACCTAGGGCTTTAGAGCTAAGAGGTAGCAAAGAAAAAGGCATTCTGAGTCTAGTGAATAAGTTTATTCTCAGTCTAGTGAATAAATGTATTCTGAACGTTTAAGGCCATGGGTTAGGATTTCTGGGATACAGCTATGCTTAGTATAGGAAATCCAAAGTAAAGGCATCTAGTCACCTTATCCCAGTAATCCAAATTCCTAATAACGGGCCGGTGCGGTGGCGCACTGCTACAGTGTGCCGCTTGGGGGTGTGGCGGCGCTCCCGCCGAGGGTTCGGATCCCACATGCAGACCGGTTCCCGCTCACTGGCTGAGCAAGGTGCGGGTGCGGCACTGAGGGTTGCGATCCCGTTGCTGGTCACGAAAAAAGACAAAAAAAAAAAAAATTCCTAATAACCCTTTCCTTTTATTCATTATAGTTCTTCATACTGGTACTTTGATTTGTTTGATATCTAGAAAAATACACAGTGACACATATAAATAAATACAAAGAGATTCATTATTGGCTAACTGTCGAAATTATCAATATGATATTTTCAAAAGCCAGACAGAGTTTCATTAGGCACCTCTAACATTATGTCAGCATTCAAATACACTTTATGTAAATATATCTTAACAAAAGGAAATTGCATTATTTAATGATTAGACTACGCAGTGGACATGGACTTGAAAATACAGGATTTTGTTCACTGGAGTTTGTTTCGTTAGCCTAATATTGAACTGATTTGTTGCTTAGAACATAGCTGTGTTTTAGCTTTTAGACCTGTCTTTCTACAGCATTTGGTATAATTGATTATCTCTTCTTCCTTGGCCCCTTAGGATAGCCCTTTCTCTTTTCTGACTCATCAACTCTCTCTACTTCATTGGCTCTTGCCTCCCATCTCAATCATCCAGATGCTAGTTTTTCCCAAGATTTGATCCTTGCCATTTTCTCTTCTTTACTTGCTGTTTTACATTTCAATGATCACCAGTAGGTTGATGGCTCAAATCTACAACTCTAGCCCCAAGCTTTGGGGTTCTGACTTTTCTATTTTCAGCTCTCTCATTACATCTTTATCTCAATATTCAGCAGATGGTAAGGATTTTACAAAACTATGGGATCGTGATGGTGATTTTCCTAGCTGAAGCAGAAGGAACCAATAAAATAGCCAGAAAGGTTCTTGACGTTGTTACTTATGTAAAATGCATATATATAAAATATACATATACATATAGATGTGTGTCACACATGTGTGCACACATATTTGTTTTAGCAGGTACTTTAAAGTGAAATTCACTGATGAGAGAAAAAAATATGATTTAAAAATTTTTATTTGAGAAGTACTTTATATATACTTTGTGAATGTAGTAAGTGGGTTATGATAAACAAGTTGTACTGTGGGGTGATCCTTGTTATTCCTCTTCTCATTCCATTTTTGTCCTGATATTTCTCCTCCTTTTCCATTCTCTTGTAAGAGAAAATAGCTCAGGAAACTGGCTTACAGTCAGTAGTCTGGGAACTTCCGGGATTCTTTACCAGAATCCCCTTGCATCTTGCAGTCCCTGACGCAAGCAGCATTGTTTTAGGGTAAGAATTTTTATAATGGTTGTGAGGCAGAGTAGCTAAGGTTGGTAACTCCAGGTGCTATCCTCTGCAGACACTCAGGAATCCTTTGCTGCCAACTTTTGTATTCATCTGTAAGTTTAAAAACATATTCCCATTCCCTCCTACTCCCACCTTAACAAGTATGGACAGACTACTTAGGGATACCCTATTTCTGAAGATGGGGTAGGTAGTCTTTTGAAATCAGTATGTTTTGGAGAGGAGTGACCTCTTGTCCCAGACCCCCTTTCTTTGTCATCACTAACTTTGTTGTGAACTAACATGCCATCACTTATTCGGGAAGTTTTTAGATTGTTTTTCTGTGGATAAATTCTGATTATAATAGGAGTTAAAGGAATTTTAATTGTGTTTTAGAGTTTTTTTTAAACTAAACTACCACCATGCTAACTAAATAACATATAGTCATTCAAGTATCATTATTTTATCTTTATTTCTTCCTGTCTTTACTAATAGCCTTTTTTAAAACCCCAGTTTTACAGATGATCCTAATAAAGCACTGTTCTTATTACCTAGACTAAATAATCTTTACATAAAATGCCATAAGTTGAAATAATCTAAAAAGGACAGAAATCAAAAGAATGGGAGGATATTTGAGACCATTCTTTTAGACTTAGGTTTAGCATTTATCTATAGCATCAAACTCTTATCAGGAAGCTTTCAGTAATAATTTCTTTAAAAAAAGAAAGACAGCCAGGAGGAAATGCTGTAGTTCTTTCAGCTTACAGAATCCCCAGAAAAATGAAACAGAAAAAAAGTACCCTTTGTTTTCTATTTTTGGAACATATTTTTAATAATTGATACTACTCCAGTGGTAATTTTTTCTAGAGTTCTGTTCTTAAACTAATACAGTAGTCCTCCCGTTATCCTCAGGGAGTACATCCCAAGACCCTCAGTGGATGCCTGAAACTGAGGATAGTACCAAACTCTATATACTGTATGTTATGTTTTCTCAATTTGATGACCAGGACAGCTACAGAGTGACTAATAGGCAGGTAGAATATACATTGTGGATATGCTGGACAAAGGGATGATTCATGTCCTGGGCCAGGACAGAGTAGGACAACTTGAAATTTCATCATGCTACACAGAACAGCATGCAATTTAAAGCTTATGAATTGTTTATTTCTGGACTTTTCCATTTAATATCTTTGGCCAGGTCATTGAGCACCAGTAACTGACCATGGAAAGCAAAATTATATAAGGGGAGACTACTGTAATTGAGGATCATGATTTGATCTTAATCAAAGGGTAGACACAGATCAATAGTGTAGCAATCAGACCAGGTATTTTGGGAAGTGGGGAGAAGTGATGGGCAAGAAGGAACTTTCTGTGCTAGGAAAACAAAGTATAATGTTTTAAAGGTAAGGGCCGGCCCCGTGGCGCACTCGGGAGAGTGTGGCGCTAGGAGCGCAGCGACGCTCCCGCCGTGGGTTCGGATCCTATATAGGACTGGCCAGTGTGCTCACTGGCTGAGCGCAGAGCGGGTGACACCACACCAAGGGTTGCGATGCCCTTATTGGTCACGAAAAAGACAAAATAATAATAATAATGTTTTAAAGGTAAAATATTTATTTTGCTTTGATTTTAAAATGAAATAACTAGAGGCTGGCCTGGTGGCGCACTGCTACAGTGCGCCGCTTGGGAGCGCGGTGGCGCTCCCACCGAGGGTTCGGATCCCACATACAGACCGGCCGCTCACTGGCTGAGCGAGGTGTGGGCGCAACACCGAGGGTTGCGATCCCGTTGCCGGTCCCAGTCCGGTACGGGTGCGACACTGAGAGTTGCGATCCGTTGCCAGACACGAAAAAAGACAAAAAGCCGGCCGCTCACTGGCTGAGCGAGGTGTGGGCGCAACACCGAGGGTTGCGATCCCGTTGCCGGTCCCGGTCCGGTATGGGCGCGACACTGAGGGTTGCGATCCGTTGCCGGTCACGAAAAAAGACAAAAAGGAAAAAAAAAAATGAAATAACTAGAGTTTTTTTTTAACATTAAGAAAGATAATACATGTGAAGAGTTTAGGATAGTGCTTAGCATCTAGTAAGCTCTCAATACATTTAGCAGTTGCTATTATTATTAGAATTTTTAAAAAGAGGAGCCTTACTTGGGGACAGCTGATGGTAAATGCATCTGCAGTTTAAGATTTAACAAAGTAGTTAAGCTATTTGAAAATGGTATCCATCTTCTTACTCCTTCTGATTGTTGAATCTTGCTTTGGGAAAGTTAGCATAATATTTATTTGTTTGTTTGTTTGTGACTGGCCTATATGGGGAACCAAACCCATGATCTTGGTATTATATGGCTGTGCTCTAACCAACTGAGCTAAATTGCCAGCCAGCATAAGATTTAAATCCCTTATTCTGGTTCAGTAGAATGAATAACTGTAATAACAGAATCTTACAAGTGAAATAACTACATCTATTTTTTTTTTTTTTTACTTTGTTTCAGGTTTCCCCTCAAAAAACCTATAAGGTAAGTTGCTCAGTTGCACTTCATACCAAATATTAGGTTAAATTTTAAGTAGAAGCATTCCTTTGAAATTATGGTGAATTTTTGTGGTTTTTGAGAATGTGGATTTAAAATTGCAAAATGTTTTACAAATTTAAAATATAACAGGTGTTACATATTTTGTCTGGAAGATGACATTGTTTTGATAATATTCCCAATGTTTTTAATGTAAGCATTTTAAAAGTTTGTTCAAATTGATATTTAAGGTCACTCCCTATGAAGAGATTTAATTTTAAAATCCATTTGTGATTGTTTTAAATTGTGAGTAGCTTGGAGGATAAAAATGGATTGCTCGTTTTTGATGTTTTATTATTTATGTGACTGTAACTGCCTTTTGTTAATGAACTTTGGCACTCATTTAGTCTTAATTACTTTATGACAGTAAAAAAAAAATCCAAAATATTCAAATATATTTGTGCCTATATCCATATATATGTATTTACTCATTTCCAGGGATTCTGTGCCTCTTCCTCAGTATTTGTGCTTCAACGTTTCTTCTCTCTCTGTCCTTAATTATCATAAATATTATTTAAAACGTAGGTAGTATGTCATTCCTAATTATTATAGTACTTTTATCATTTTTAGTGACAGCATAGTCCAGGGTACCAATGCTGACCTTAGCATTTCAATGTATTAGTAGTGTGTATATCATAGTTATGGTCTTATTTGTTACCCAGTCATCTGATCAATCTAGTTGGCTAGGCCATAGAAAAAATAATAATTGTAGTGTCATCTGGGCCTGAAGTGGTTGGCTAAGACTTCTGTGACCATTGTATATGTGCGGTTGGAGAATATGTTTAATTCCTTTTAGGCACAGTTTTCTTGTCTGTTAAATGGAAATATTAATGATTGACCTATGAAAACCACTAAAAAAATGTAAGCAGCTATTTCTAACAATAAAATGGATTTTAACACAGAATACTGTTTTTATTATTTTAAGCACTTTTTATAACCAAATAAACTGTGTATATTACATGTAACACAGACTGAGTTTTTAAACTTATTTGGTAAACTGATTTCTTGGTTTCTCTTTGTAAGACACACTTCTGGGATTTTCAAAATAAGTTTTTATTCTAATGATTTTCTTATAGTAAACATGTGATTGCTTTGATTTAATGTAGGCATGGGAGTATCTTGAACCGAGAGTCACCAACCGATAAGAAGCAGAAAGTTGAACGCAGTACATCACATGATTTTGACCCCACAGGTAAAGCACTTTTTGTTCTTCTAAAGAATATTGAGAGTAGTGAAGTTCAGAATAACATAAGTTCAGCTTGAACTACCTGAACCACTCTAGAGTAGTTGTTTGATCTGTTTTAGGACTCTCCCTCCCCTCCAATTATATAATGTAAAGCCTTTGTGTTCAGCGGGAATGCAAGCATTGTTAACTTTCAGCACTATAGATTTCATTATAGAAGTATCATTGTGATGTGTGTGAGTGTGTTGTTATATTTAAAAATAATGATAATAGAAATAGTTATATCATAATTGGAGATTTTGGTCAGACCGATGGTTTAGTGTTAAGATAAATCATGGTATGAGTGGTATACTATGTCATAAAATCAAGGCTATAACAACTACAAACTTCTGTGGTCATTTAAAAATTCAGTTGTGATCATGGTGAATTGAAATATTAGATAAAATGTAACTTAAAAAATTAATGATTGTCTCATTTTAGAGTGAGCAAAAGAATAGAAATCCCTTTTTCTTCAGTCAGAAAGTATTCTGAATTCAGCTGTCATTCAACCTAAGTAGTGTTGATCTTTCCTAGAGTTTTGATGTTAGCGGACTCTTCTCTTGTAAAATATAGGCTTTTCCTTTTGCTTTCTTCTTGTAAACTCACTCACTACTTAATTTATAGAAATTGCTTGATAATTTTGCTTTTGTCATTTGAAACTGATATATATTCTTTGTGCACATACTATTTTATTTAGTTGTATATCCTTGTGACAAAAGATAAAGTAAATGCTGCAAATTCAGATAAATAAATATGCTGTACCTATTTTTAGATATATTTATTTAGAAATATACATCAAAATATTTAATAGAGAGTAATATGTTTTATGTATCTAATTAAAATGTTTCCTACTTTTAGTATAAATTGTTCTTTTATTTTGAAAAAATATTATGAATATTACCCAGAAGGGATAACTGGGAAGTGAATAGCTAATAATTTACCTGCATCTTGGGTAGTAGATAAAATGAAATTTCATTCATCAATTTAGGAGGCTTTGGTGTGGGAGTATGTAATATGTTACTTATGGATCTCCATGAAGAGAGAATTCTCTATTTCTGACACCTAATTTTGAAGTCATAGGACTCAGAAGCTTTTATTTATATGATTAGTTATTGTCTTGCTAATAAGGGTCACAAATTTCTGCCCTATGTTTATAAAAATATTACAGTCTTATTAGATTTATTCTGTATTGTTCATCTGTGATGTGCCCATCTTCAAAGACATATTTAGCAAAGTGTTATGCAGTACTTCATAATGAGATTATTACAGATTTTAGTGCTTTTGTCATCTCTACAATTATCAGATGATATATTTTATAGACTACTCATGTGTTGTTTTGTTTGAATGTATTTTTATTGCACTGCCATTTCTTCAATAAATCTTTAAAATATGTCATTACCTGTGCTGTTCGTGACTATTCTAAGTGCTATCATCTGTGATGTTCATACTTTGTGTTTGCACGATTTAACTTGATCATGATTCATTCTTTTTTCCCCCATGAATATTTCGCCTTACATTGGTCTCCATATTTTCTATATCTCTCTCCTTTTCTCCCGCTCTTGTGCAGATAGCTCCTCCAAGAAGACAAAGTCTAGTTCAGAGGAGAGTAGATCCGAGATATATGGTAAGCTAATGTAGCTAATTCAGCCTTGCACCTTTGGAGCTTGCTTCATGCTATTTCTTTCTTTTCTTTCTTTTCTTTTTTTTTTTAAGTAACCACAGCTTGTCTTGTGTCTGTTCTGCATGGCGTGATCTGCTGCCTGGAAATGGAGCCTGGGGTTTTAATGTGGCTGTGATGTGGAAGCTTAAGGTTGCTAGAAACTAACATTGTAGATTAAGAACAGGCCACATTACCCATCTTCTCTTTCATCTTATGTTAGGAAAGTGTCTCTAATATGTTTGGGTCAGCTTCCTCCAAATAACATGGATGGGCTTTGAATTCTTGGCATCTTCTTTCTGTGTCTCATTTGCGGAGTTTGGATTGTGTAGCATTTAAGCAATTAAGTCTCTTCCTTTTAAGTATAGTAATGGTGTAATTTAGATGTCCTACAATTCTTTGGAATTTTTATTTTATTTTTTGTTTGCTTATTTTTATTTGCCTTGTCATCTGGAAAAGTCATTCTTGTATAATTTATCCACAATAGCAAAAATATGTAAATATTTTATTTTCATAGATTGAAGACTTTGTCTATGCCTTTCAGAAGTTTCCCCGAATCTTATCTGAATGGGAAAGTTTCAAAATGGTACCTTTTAAAAGCTTCCACAAGAGCAAGTTTAGCCTGAATAGTCAACATTCGCAACAGATGATTGAAATGCTAATATATCAAGACTGAGTCCTGTCTTCCAAAGATACAATAAACATGTTTGTGAAGTTTATGTGTATTTTTCCTTTTCCCTTGCAGTTTTACCTGCCCTCTTCCTTTCTTTTGGCATCTAATTAATTTTTTGACAAAAGCAAATACGAGAGAGACTGCCTGGAACCAACAGTTTTAAAATAATCTCTGAAAGACTAAGTTATTTCTTTTTAAGAAAATTCCACATTTGGCCTCAAAGGAAAATCAGGTCTTCTCTTAATAGAGCCAAAAGTCTATCAAATGGAAGTTTCCGCAGGTGCAGGTGTTTGCTGGTTTGGCATATATGAGAGGAAAAAGTATATGGAATTGCCCCTTTCTGCTTCTAAGACATTTGACAATTTACGTCTACTGGTACTTGAATCCATAATATCAAGATACTTTTTAATATTAGGAAGCCTCAGTGTTTGGTTCTAAACCAGTTAATGCTTCTATGTTAGATACATACACATAGTTCTTTGCTTGGGTTTTTATGACCAGTGATTTTTCTGTGTAGTTAAACCTTTTGCAGGTGGTTTGATAGGAAATGTATACCATGCCTTGTGGCATGTCAAGTTTATGCTTTTTCTTCCCTCCTAAGTAGTTTGGCTCCTTATAATTAAGAAATAACTTTCTTTTTTTTTTTCCTTTTTGTCTTTTTTTGTGACCGGCAACGGATCGCAACCCTCAGTGTCGCGCCCGTACCGGACCGGACCGGCAATGGGATCGCAACCCTCGGTGTTGCTCCCGCACCTCGCTCAGCCAGTGAGTGGCCGGTCTGTATGTGGGATCCGAACCCTCGGCGGGAGCACTGCTGCGCTTCCCAAGCGGCGCACTGTAGCAGTGCGCCACCAGGCCGGCCCAAGAAATAACTTTCTAATTCCTTAAGAATCTGCCTTTCTGTTGTATATGAAGAGTTTCCTATGGTTTATTCTCTCCTTAAGAACATGAACATTATCATTATAGCTCCATTCGGTTCCAGTAGCCTTTGAAATGTTGTATTCCATCTCTTTTACCATTTTCCTAGATTTGTGGTATGTATTCAGAAGTTTGCTGTTTGCTTTGGATGAGGACTAGCAATTTAGGAAACTGACTAGAAATATTATACTAATATTTTTCTTACCAGTGATAGGAATATTAACACTAGTTCAGACACGCCATTTGCTTGGTAGTAATAGAAACATTGTAAGTGGTAATTGGAAAGCAAGGTGTGGCTTCTCTGTGTGTTTGCTTTTTGAAAACCCTTGAAATACCTTTTTTTGAAGGAACCGAGCCACAAGTCCTCAAAAAGCACTCATAAGAGAGATAAGTTGATTAGAATGGAATAAACATGCTAACGCAAATCTCTTTGACATTACAAATATTTTATTACTTGTGTGAATAGACTTCTTTGGACTGTGGTGCAGTTGACATGGGTAAAAAAGATTCTCTAGGGAGTCAAGGAAAGCTTAGAAATAGTAGAATATGACTGATTAGAATCATAGCAACTGGTGATGTTCTGCTTTAGTGTACAGGCTTTTGAGATTATACATAGTGTTCTCCTGGGATAAAATTCATTAGCTTGGGCCGAGCCCTGGCGCACTCGGGAGAGTGCGGCGCTGGGAGTGCAGCAGCGCTCCCACCGCGGGTTCAGATCCTATATAGGGATGACCGGTGTGCTCACAGCACTCACTGGCTGAGCGCGGTGCTGCCGGTCTCAAAAAGGACAAAAAAAAAAAATTCATTAGCTAGGTACTTAACACAAATAAGTTTAAAATAAATCATTTGTAAATATTTCTTTCTTAGTCATTTTTGGAGATAATCTGTAAGACTGATTTACTTCGTTCATTTTAAAAGGAAACCAAGTGTTTGTTTTGTATTGATGTCTTTTGTTAATTTTCTGTCCAGGGCAGTAAGTCAATATTTATTCTGTTTTCCCTTATTTTTTTCCCTCTGTACCTTTTGGAGTCTATTGAACATGTATGGATGTGTTTTCTGATCTGCAATTTTAATGATACCTGATTTTCTGTTTTTCTTACTGATAATGTAATGGAGAACTTTTGTGTGTTACTGTGGGATATGAGAGATTCGGCAAAGGAATTTTGAGTTAGACTACGGCTTCTTCCTAACTTCTATCTTAGTACCATGAAGAGATTACTGCTGATAGTATTATGTGCAAGAAAATAAGCCATGTTTTTTTAAAGCTGTCTTAATGCGCCCAAGCAGCCATAGCAAAATACCATAGACTGTGTGGTTTAAACAACATAAATTTATTTTCTTACAGTTCTGGAGGTTGGAAGTCCGAGATCAGGGTGTCAGTGTTATTGGGTTCTGGTGAGCGTTCTCTTGCTGGCTTGCAGATACTGCCTTTTGCCATGTCCTCACCTGCCTTTTTCTTGGTGCATGCGCTTAGAGAGAGAGAGAGAGAGAGAGAGTGCTTGAGCCTGAGTTCTTTGGTGTCTCCTCTAATCCCGTTGTGAGGGTCCTACCCTCCTGACCTCCTCTGACCCTAATTACCCCCAAAAGAGCCCATCTCCAACTATCATCATGTTAGAGGTTGGGGCTTCAAAATATGAGTTTTGGGAGAATACATTTAATTCATAACAAAAATGAACTATACTTACTTGAAATTTCCTGGTTTGAATATTTCAGAGTGTATTTTTAAGAAATACATATCATTTTCTTATTCAGGCTTCTCATATCTTTAAAAAGAAAAGTTCTTAGGCTGATTTTTGCTCCTACCAAGTTGTTATTGTCTCTTTTCATCTTCAACCTTGCAAGGAGCATTCTACATGAACCATTCACTTCTTAACCTCTTATAATCTCACATCTGAACTCATAGTATCCTACTTGAAAATCTGCTAACTTTTTCTCACTTCTCACCTTCTCTCTGAACCATTTAGCAATGCTGATGTCCTCTCTGTAATATTACATTCAACCTGGTTCTTTTCTCCTTGTGATTTTGTCTCTGTTTACTTGATTGCTTTTTCCCTCTTGTCTTATTCATGTAGATGTTACCCAAGTTTCTGCCCCTGATCTTTCTTCTAGTCTCCAGTCTCACATTTTCAACTGTTTGCTGGATATTTTCACTCTGTTTCTTAAATTCAGAATGACCAAACTGGAGTTCATCATTATTTACTACAGGTAGAAATCAGTCTTCCTCTAGATTTCCCTAATTTTAGTGGCATTGCTATTTTTCCATTCACCCAGTCTTATTTCCTTAAAGTCATCTTTGACTTCTCCATTTCCTTTGTCCTCTATTGTCAACTGTTTGCCAGGTCCCCTTGATTCTACAATCACAGTATTTTTCATCCTTCACTCTTTGGTTTCATCCCCACTGCCGTGTTCAGTTTTCCATCATTTTATTAGACTACTTTAATAGATTCACAACTTTCTTTCACATGAGTTTCACATTGATTCACTTCCTTTTCTCCACTGTACTATATTCTGCATTGACCTGTCAGATTAATATTACTAAAATAACAATTTGGTCATTCATTTGCTAGGAAAGTACAGGTAGTTATTAAGATATGCCATAATTTGTTTCCAACTTATCATTCTACTTTAGTCTACTACTATTCACCTAAAGGTACCAGACTCTCCTCCAAATTTTCATTTCCCAAATATATCTTGTTATTCTTCCTTTGCTTATGCCATTCCTGTTGTCTTGAATGGTTTATCTCCTGTAACTTAGAATCCTACCCATCCTTCAAGGCTCCGTTCAAATACTGCCTCTTTCACAGGGCTTTCCTCGATTTGCGCAGTTGCTTTTGTTGTTTTTGAACTTCAACATCCTGCTTTGTATCTAGTTATTTGTATTTATATTCATCTTTGCATTTCCCATAATGTCTGACACATTTGAGGCGCTTGTTAAGTGAGTTGAATGAACGATTGTTGAGATTGAGATGAAGATTTTTAGTAGAGAAAATTAATGGAATAAGATTTTGACTAATCTTAATTGAATCTTTCTGAAAAATTACTTTTTCCTTTCTGAATAACTTGAAGGTAGGAGAGAAGGTAACTTAGAAAACAGACTTGTTTCTGGTAGTGGTCTAAAAGAATGAAATCAGCATAATTGGAACTTAAGACTCCTCTTGCTGGCTGCATCGCACATTTAAGAATCAAGAAGCTTCTTAATCAAAGGATTATCTGAGGTCTTACTCATAAAACATGTATGTCTGGCAGCAGTTTAAAAATGAGCTGTTTTTATGAGGTTGCACATGGTCTTTCTCCACACCCTTCCCTGAAGCTAATTCTTAAGAGGTGAGACTTAGAGAAGTTTGGTCATGTAATAAAATAAAAGGTGAAGAAAGAC